CTACACGAAAACACTGATTTGAACTGTGTTTCTTAAAAGACAAATAACCATTTTAGAATTTCGCGATTTCGTTTGTGTGTGTGTGTGCTAAATAAAAAATCTTATTTTCTACACGAAACTTTATGAATGACATTTACCAATAATATAACTTGCTATTATCATTAAGTACATATGTATGTCAATAATATTATCAATTCATATTATTTCGTCTGATTTAGTATTCATTAGCTATGAGTGATGACAGTTAAAAAACTAAGAGCAAGGCTGAACCCATCCTTGCACAATACGGAGAGTAAAAGTGCAACACACCGATGTATTTACCTGTACAAACAAGCGTTTTTAAAACGCTCTAAACTTGCATAATTTCAAATATTATAAACAATCGATTAAAATCAATTTTCAATACTTGAACACTTGATAATAATCAGTAAACTATTTAAATTTTAATGACAACCAAATTTAATGAAGATGTAAATCGCTGCTTAAGCGTTTATAAAACGCAGCGTTTCAGCCGCTGGTTTGTACATCGCGACATCAATTGGATGGTATCATTGACAGGTAATTACGATACTGTTAGCGAATGACTCGGCAATTGCCTCTCAAGATGTGTCGGGCGGACTACATATCGAAATATGCAGACTGACGAAACACTTTCAACCTTATTACACATCGAAATATTACGCGAATTTTTAAATTCGAAGACTTTGTTTTTATTCATTTACGGCAAAAATCGATTTTCTATCTCGAACAGTTTTACGTATCCTAATTTTGAATATATCTTTAATCCATTCGGTTCAAAAACCGATCTAGGGATTGTTATCGCAATTGTTTTTGTATCATAAAGTAATTAACATATCTTCGTATTTATCTTAAAAATCGAATATTGAATTCTGCGGTAAAAACATGTTAGTACAAAACTTTAATTTGATTGATAAAATTAAACGATAGCTAAGGAGACCGGTTATATTCAGTTAAAGAGAGGTGACTTTAGTTTCACTTTTATAAGATTTCTTGCTATAATTACTAGCGGCCATCGACCACTGCCCGCTATCGGCCATGTTACGGGATTTTACTTTCTATATCACACTGATTCACAGAAACCAAGGTAATTCAAATACATTATTGAAATAGGGATTATCAATGAATTTCCTGTGAAATAATATAAATTCAGTTGTGAATTTACATAAAATGAATGAAATTAGGGTCCAAGAAAATTTTTGTGGATTCTGTCCGTCACACTTTAATCAAATAGCGATATCTGTTGATCGTACCTCTTGATAGTGTGAAACATCAAATTTACAGCAATCGACCTACCATAACATGGCTTTCGATCACGTTTAACAGATACACTCGCTTCTTTGTCAGAATTCCCACGCACTGCCAACTCCGGAAGCGGAACATATTGTTATATTATTATGTCATAATCCAAAAATTCTTTTGTACAGTTATCGTTAGATTCATCTTACATTGTAATTATATTCTAAATATGGTTGATGGATATTTAGTTGCTACGTCTAAGAAGCAATCGTCAAAGTTATAACGCATCTATACTTCTATACCAACTAATAAAGCGAAAACATATACTACCCAGTTATGTAGGATTTTGAATATTTTTTGAATATTTCTGTTTCTAATTATTATTTTCACTGAATTAAACTTAGGGGGTAAATAAATCGGGAAAAAGCTCATGTGGGTTAGCGACAAAAACTACAAGCTAATAGCATCGTAGAAGCAAAATTATCATCATAAAGCTAAAAAGGCAACGATTTTCCTTGTCTTTTTGCCATTTGAATGTCAACGTTTTAATTAATTTACGATAGAGACATGGGGATACACAAAGAGATATTGAGGTAGAAATTGAGATCTGATGGTTTTGTGAAAGTGTACTAAGATTGATTCCATATTGAGTATTGGAAAATTAATTTTAAGTAAGTAAATCATAATTTTTTATGCTCCACCTATTACTACACATTTATTGTTTAAAACGAAGCAGAGATACTAGATAGAGGTACTACATAGATCCATACAATTGGGAAAGTATTGTGCACAGCTCCAGCTTAGTGATTGGCACATAAAGTTTTCATATATATTGTGAAATTTACCACCCTATTGTGGTACGGGGATACGTTAATTTTTTTTATTAATGATACGTGTCGATTGTTTCAGGAAGAACCTGGTGCTGCAAGCAGTGGACAAGGAGGAAGACGCTCATCTGTTCACGTACCGCGACGTGAACAGGACGCACGTTGCGGTGCTGCTAGCTCAAAGTTTAGACCATCTAGTCGATCGCGACACCCCACAGAATGTCGTCAAATTCCGCCTCGGCTGCGACTTCCACACAGGAGACGACCTCGTAAGTCCAACGCCAACCATTATTACAGCGACAACTGCAATTCAGTGGCTTTGTAAAAATATGAAATTACTGCCATCTGTAGTACATTTCTTTAAACTTTGTAAAGAGTGCTGCCATCTATCTTTCCAACTATTAAATTTTTATTCACGATTTACCTATTCACTACTAGATGGAACTTTTTTAAAATGTGTAGAAAAATCTTGTAACTTGCAATAAACCAAATTTAATAAACCTTAAATGCAATAAATTTCTATTCTTTTTAGAGGTTTTAACTAACATTCTCTTCATAGTTATATTTTAGTCATCTAGATCTGCTCTAATGTTAATATCTTATGTCTTTAAAATAGCTGCCTATAATAATTTTATCCTTTGTAGCTATATCTTGAATTCGAATTCGAAATCAGTATAAAATTAACGCTTGCACCGTACTAAAATTCGTATCCTAGCATCACTGCACTGTGATGCAGGAAACAAAATACTGACAAAGTCTACGATCATTTTCGACATATCGCCCGTAAACTGGGAGATGGTATCGAGATGGCAACGACCTCTGGCGGCCGACGACAGTTGAGTGCCTCACCTCAATACAAATGAATAAAGTTTAAAATTACATAAAAGCTTTTCACCAGCCATACAATTAATTCATGGAACACAAATTATTCGACGGAAAGTTTATATTATGCGCAATATTGAAATTACCAAAAATTATAAATGCGAAAGTTTAATGGATGGCTGGATGGATAGATAGATGGATGTTTGTTACAGTTTGTAGCCTAAACGGCTAAACGGATTTCGATGAAATTTGGTATAGATGTAGAGGATAGTCTGGAAGAACACATAGGCTACTCACTTTTGTTATTTTTTAATCCACGCGGAAGCTAGTTTAATTATAATTAGAGTACTAACGAACAACATTAAAACGAAGTAAAATTTTCTACGTATACAAAATCGAAGACAGAAATACACACTAATTACTTTAGTTAGTAGGTAGAAGATTTTGTAAGAGATTCTCAGGAATCTAGGAATCTTGTATCGAGACTATCTGCCCATTCAGAACATTATACTTTCTGTTATATTACAACCTTAATATTCAAGATAATAATCAAATCTAGGGTAAACACACTCATGTCTAAATTTGATAAGATTTAATTTAAAGGTTTTCTGAAAGAGCCTTGTGTTATTAAACTATGATTAATGTAATATTTTTATTGTTATTTGAAGAAGAGAAAATAAATTATGTACTCTTTTACTTTTAAAAACAGTATAAGACTATTTAGATTGTCTTGTTTATGAAATAGAAAGGGACTGCTTTCTAAGGCAACATGTTCATCCTTTGTAAACGTTAGATGTTTTATTAATTCGTGAAGCGGAGAAAGGCCTCTTTGAAGTGGAGTTTATTAATATTAAATAAAAAGCCCATTGGAGCGCGTAATAAATTTAATAATGGTGTGTAAAGCGGCATCGCTCGCATACGACCACTGGCCTTCACCCATTTCCCTTTGTTGAATTATTTGCTCGCCGCTGAAGCCTTCTGTTCCACTCCAGTTGCCTTGTGCATGCCTCTGCTCAATCATACCGATATTTACACGCCTCTAAATCGTGAACACTGTTTACTTTTATATCTATAGTTGGACTATTTTACTAAAGGATTTTCGTTGCAAGGTTCCTATTGAAATGAGTTTCTATATCCTTGTAAAAGCTTACAAAACTTAATATCAACTAACAAAATATTTCACTCTATACTAATATTGTAAAGAAGAAATATTTGTATTTTTTTATGAATTGAAATAATTCAAACACTACTGGGCAGATTTCAATAATTCGTTCACCATTAAAAAGCTATGTTATCGCTGAGTAATATTAGATTTTACATGGACGAAGTCGCGAGGATCAGGTAGTCTTTAATTTGGTGTTTTTTCTTATTGTCTAGATCTCCGCGTACCTGTCTGTCACTGTGTACATAGAGGATGTGAACGACAACTCGCC